ACCCTTCATATACACCCTTCATATACACCCTTCATATACACCCTTCATATACACCCTTCATATACACCCTTCATATATACCCTTCATATATACCCTTCATATAATACAATGCTAGTTCTGCCTGTACTAATAAATCGAACTAACTTCACAGTATTAAATCAACCCATCAAGATTTTCCTTATCGCATTCCATAATTGTTACTAGATATCGTTACCATCTAGGTTGGGAGAGCAACACGCATATATGCACAATTTAGCCCTGATGATAAATATATGCTAGATGCTTGTAAAGAGTATTAATGATACCTCGTTATCCTCCCTCTTATTAAGGTCTTCCTTAAATACATGAATGTGGGATAAATATTTGGGCATTTACATTAATACACTTTCGTAAATCTGATTATCACTTAACTTAGATTGTAACACGTCTGGAGGATAATTCCGGATTCATTTGTGGGTAATAAATACTTATACGAAAATCGGATATTGTTACTGATATTAAAGTTATGTTTAACCACTTTATAAACAAATAATTCTACAATCTGTATATGTATGTTGAAGTTGAAGAATTTTTTCACTAAAGACACTGAGTCTTATATCCGCATTACTAAATTGGTTGTCAGATGATCGTTTTTTTATTTCTCCAACAGCTACAACATGCAATGCATCTAGGGATTCCTTTTACGATAAACACAAAGTCTGATTTTCGAGTAACCAATAGCGGAAAAGAATACATGTCTTCAACCATAAACTTTGAGCTCTTTTGACTGTTGCAATAGTTTACATTCATCTGAGACTTCAGGACTAGGTGGATCTCTAAACTTTTTATATTCTTTTCTTAGGGTATTCATGTCAATTTAAGTGGGAAACTAATACAATCACTGTTTTCTTATAAAAATGACTTTTCAGTTACCGTATACGTAACTAATATAAATATAAAATGATGTTTGCTAGAATAATAAAGGATCGAATTATAGATTGGGTGAACAGATATCAGCACTAAACCATACTACCTCGCTTTGAGTCGTATTTTCGTCATTTCATGACTCATTTCATCAAATCTGGTTATTTGGCAGTGTTCACGTGAATTCTGCCAAATAACCAAGTTATTTGGCAGAAGGCACGTGAACATTGCCAAATAACCAAGTTATTTGACATCTGGTCGTTGTAAGCTGCCGAATAACACTGTTATTGAATGCTAAACACTAACAACTTGTTTATCTGGCAATAAAACTTGATCTTCCACTTCTGGGTCCTTCTGAATCCAGAAACTGTCACAGCCAGGTCATAAAGTTATTTAAATAACTCTCGTCATTGGATGCGAAGCATCCAATAACTATATATTATTAAATCCGATTAACATACTATAGTTCACACATTATTAAGTATTACGAAAAATGAAGCATAGATTTCATATTATGCACTTACGAGTAACTCAACATTAACATGATATGTTTCTTTGAAAGTGTTTCTTTCCAATACTCTCCAATATCATTTGCGGGAAACAACTCATTATCTAATGTTGGTCCCTGAATAGTATTATCAGAATTGATTGGTATTTCTGCCTTCCATAATTTGAGATTCATTGCATCAACACCAGCGAAATTGTTAGGATTCTCCATTGATTGTATTATCCTTGTTGATCTTGACCAAAAAAAGCCTTTTGCACTGTAGAGTAGTTTCCCTTAACAAGGTGCATATGAAATAAATTTTTTTAGATCATTTATAAATGATCCATCGTGATTCGGCTTTCGGGATAGCCCTTGAATTAGTGCTAGGTTGGTGGCAGATTTCCTGAGGATTCAAGATCAGGTGTAATGTAACACAGGACATCCGTCTTGTCAAAAAATCAGATTTCTCGAAAATCCGCATAAGAAACTACTTTAGTACTCTAACGAAAAAATTTCTTTAGCGATTTTACTATATACTTTACCAATGCATAACCTTAATACTACGTTGACCCTAACATAAATAAACTTTAAAGGATTTGCCTGGCACGAATTGCTGTTTACGAGGGTAGGTGCGATAATGATACGTAAATATTACGATAATCATATAACTGAATTTATAATTCTGTGCCTGCTGTTGTATAAAAAAAAAACTTTGTTCTAATTTACTTACCGTATGCGGTTGTTGTGATATCAATAAATCTATTTTAGATGCTAGAAATAACTGGATACTCTAAATACGATCTAACCATTTTTTCTATGCTGCATTATTTATGATCACCACTGCAATTCACATATTTGTCATTAACGAGAGCATCGTTCTTTGCGACATCTTTTTGAGAAGTGAAACGTGTGCTTATGTGTTCGCGATATTCATATCAACAACAACAAATCTATGACCATAATATACCCTAATTCTGTAATTGGATTTTTTAATTGCACTACATAGCAAAAAAATATTCTCAGTATTTACTTCTATTTTGTGATATTGATATAAAAAGGTGTGTACGTACTTACGTATGTACGTACGAACATACATATCTGATATCTGATATCGATATGTGATAACTAATTAAGATTAAAGCTAATTAATATTGATGATACAGTGACCACGGAATATTTCATGAGACACTTATACGTAAAACAAGTTTTCATGTGTAGCAGAGCATATAAAAATATTTGTGTAAATCAAACAATGAATGTAGTGAGTGCAACATTTGCCACCATTCATATCGCTATATACTGCGGATGTATTTTTACACTGTGTGATTATAAGGTTCTTCACATCATTTGTACGTACCGTTTTTGGACGCATGCTGTCTCTATATACAATGTGTTAGATTGTTTGTAACTACTAGCTATGAGGAGGCGTCTTTGTTTACAAATAAATATAATAATATCCAAACATTGTTTACCAAACTTTTTTTCTTTGTGCTTATCCAATTTAAGTTTTATATAAATTGCTACCGTTTTCATGTTCTGATTTTCATCTTTCCTCGCTCCTCTCAAAGCTTTAGCCAAGCTTGCGTTTCTCCCTTACCATTTTCCCTCATCTTATATCAATTTTATCCGAATTGCACCAAAGATTACTCATCTTGACATTCGGTGAATTCATCTTTGCGTTGATCTAGAATTGTAATCCCTGAATAGAAAGATTTATAGACAATGATTTCTCCTGAAAATGTATATCCAAAAATAATCGAAAAAAATGAGGAAATAACTTGCGTTGATGATTCTAAAAAACACGAAACATTATTCAATATGCAAAACGAACAATTTCCTTATTTACCACTAGATGTGTTAGAATTAGATTGTAATCTGGGATATGTGATAAATGCTATCAACGTGAAGAACAAGGATAAGGTAAGTAAGTATTAATTGAACTTTTTATGACTTTAGAAAAAATGATGTGTTTTTCTAAAAGAAAAATATATATATATATATTCTTGATTTTTTATAGGTGTTCATGTACTTAATAGAACAAACGAATACTATACAAGTAAACAAAACTCGTTCGCTAATTTATTTTATGGATAAAATGAAACATGTTCCATATATTCAACAACTTATTGATGTAATCGAAGATGAAAACTACTTGGCTATTGTTTGGGAGGATCCTGGTCAGCCAATGTTTGAATTGCTCCAGCATACTGAGCATAATTTGAACCTTCGGGAAATCTTTTGTCAGATTTGTTTAGCTCTTGCAAATCTGCATGATAATAATCTAGCTCACATGTCCTTAAATTGTGATACCCTTTGGATCAAAAATAACAATGTGAAACTTGTAGATTTCGCATCATTAGGTCATTTTACTACCGCAAATATTGTTCACATTGTGCAAACATTGAATTCTAGTGCATATGATATATTTACTTCTCCTGAAATTATTGATCGACAACCTTGCTGGGGTTGGAGACCCGATGTTTGGGCTCTGGGTGTTGTTTTTTATTACACGTTAGTAGGTCAATTTCCTTGCGATGGTGATTATGTAAAGTTTCATCAAGAGATAAAAAATGGCACATTTTTGTTTTCTGATGATATAGATCCAGGTATATATATATTTTTTTTCTTATTGTTTAATTTATTATCCATTTTATCACATTTGTTTTAATTCATCATTATTCTTGATATCAATATAGATGCTTGTGATTTGTTATCACGTATGTGGGATCCAGATCCAACTAAGAAATTCGATATGTGGGATGTTAGAAAACACCCGTTTTTAGCCCCTCTATCGACACCTTTAATGAAAGAACAACAACAACAACAACAGCAATATGAACAAACAAAACATAAACGTTCAATATTAAAAAAA